GAGCAGCACTGCCCCCTATCGGTGCAGCAAAGTATTTTCTGCTGAACACTGTGTATTTTCACCGTTCATTTATGGCCAATTTAAAAGGAGTAATATGTCACACACTCTCATTCAATATATTAGACAGACTGTTGAACATCAGCATGTGCAGCACATGTGTAATCAAACATATATACTGGCGATGTAAAGAGAGACAGCAATGGGCATGCTCCAACCGCCTACTTGATGTATTCTAAAAAAAGTTAAGTCAGGTCCTCGGGACAGGGTCAAAAAATTAGAAACATTTTGTCTTTCATCCGAAAGACTTCTTCAGTCTGAGGAGCTGTATTGAGCTCAGTCTTATAAATGGCACCTTCTCATAGTGGATCAACCAGTTTGTTGTTGACATTCAAAACTAGCTGGTCACATGATCAAGGAGGACCATCAGGGTCACCATATACAGGTGCTGGTCATAAAATTAGAATATCATGAAAAAGTTGATTTATTTCAGTAGATTCCATTAAAAAAATGAAACTTGTATGTTATTGCATCGTTTTTATGTCTATATTCTGATTTACTTCATTTTGTATTTTGCTTTGTGTGTTACCTGTTGTTCTGTCTGTACAGCACTTTGGTTGGCCTTGTCGCTGTTTTAAGTGCTTTATAAATGTAGTATGTCATATAGGGATATATATTCATACTTTTCACGAGTTCCTCATCTTTCTGACTGTGTAAATGTCGTGCATTGAATTTTAACAGAAATGTAACGAGAGACGTTATTTATCTTTGACCCATCAAAATGAATGCGGTCATTTATTTTCAGAATCAAAGTTTAACATCAAACATTTACATTAATTTGGCAAAATATGAAAATAATAACAGACAAGTTTCACAAATAATGGACTTCAATCACACGGCGGTGATCGAGGACTTTGCTTCAGATATTTCTAAAATATCTGTACTGATTTTAAGAGAAAGCAGAGTTTAAGATGGAAATGGAGATTTATCTTACAGAGAGATTTGTGAGGGAATTAATCTGTTTGACCAGAAACGTGCACGCTCCATCAGATCTCAGCTCGCCCACGGTACACTTGGTCGAAAATAGAACCTTCTACCTGGTTGACGATAAACTCAGCGTCGGCGTAGGGTTCCTTTCTGACTCTTTCAGCGTCTCCGTGAGAACTGCCAAACCCTTAGAGAGTCGTACGAGGTTGTTCAAACAGAAGTTATAATCCCAAAATGTCTCTGGATCATCCTGAACGCGTTTGCATCCAAGAACTCTAACTCCATCACTCTTCAGCCCTCTGTGTGGAACTCTCAGAGCTCTGCAGCATCAGACTCTTTTTAGCTCCATTAATCTTCAGCGTCTGGCTTCAGACTTCAGACTCTGTGCACTCTCTAGTTGAACTCATTCCTGAGCGCAGCAACTGCAGCAACTCCAGCGACTCATGAACTGGGAAGTTGCCACATTTTAAATGGGTCGACTTCCGGGTCATTTGAGAGCTTTTTGATTGGTCGATGGACCAGAATAGAGGTGTGGTTTGTGATGTAAGATGTTATCAAATTCGAGGTCAGAGAACGAGATTGTTCAACAACAGACAGAAAGATTATTGCAGAAAACCAGACTTCGTGGAGTCTCACTCTGCTGTATCTTCTCAAATAGTTAAACATGACATTTTTTCTCAGTAAACATTTTAGTTGACCGAGAACCGACCTTTAACATACTTACAAAACTCGCTCATTGCAGACAGAAAAATCAAGAAATGCATATTAACCTGATTTCTTCTTTGAATGAGGAATAAAAATCATTACTTACTGTTTATGTAAAATAAAAATGAGTAGTTTTCTTCAACCTGTAAACATTGAGTGAACTAACACAATTTGATTATCAAACATTTGTAAAATAGTAATGATCATAGAGAATTGTCTTTTCTGCTTGATTAATTCAAGAAAGAAAGTCACCAGATGGCTCAAACTGTATTTCTGGATGCAGATCAATGAAATAACAGTCTCTGTCCATCTGATCAAGATTTGAGGTCCGATCAGGTTCACTACATAAATAAAGTGGTATGGTATTCATTTATTACACACAGATACACACACACATATTCCAAACCTTTATTTCTTTTAATGTTGATGATTATAACTGACAACTAATGAAAATCCCAAATTCAGTATCTTAGAAAATTTAAATATTGTGAAAAGGTAAAATACTGAAGACACCTGGTGCCACACTCTAATCAGCTAATTAACTCAAAACACCTGCAAAGGCCTTTAAATGGTCTCAGTCTAGTTCTGTAGCTACACAATCATGGAGAAGACTGCTGACTTGACAGTTGTCCAAAATATGACCATCGACACCTTGTACAAGGAGGGCACGACACAAAAAGTCATTGGTAAAGAGGCTGGCTGTTCACAGAGCTCTGTGTTCAAGCACATTAATAGAGAGGTGAAGATAAGGAAAAGATGTGGTAGAAAAAATTGTACAAGCAATAGGGATAACTGCACCCTGGAGAGGATTGTGAAACAAAACCCATTCCATAATGTGGGGGAGATTCACAAAGAGTGAACTGCAGCTGGAGTCAGTGCTCCAAGAACCACCACACACAGATGTATGCAAGACAAGGGGTTCAGCTGTCACATCCCTTGTGTCAAGCCACTCTTGAACAAGAGACCGCGTCAGAAGCGTCTCGTCCTGGGACTGGGGCGCTGCACCAAGAACTACTGAAAGAAACTACACAAAAACCTCTGAAGACATGTCTTCTTCTTCTTCTGTAAATAAAAATAAAAACGAAGTGGCATCAAGTTTTAGCAGTTTTAGGAGTTATATTTTGTCATTTTTCAAAAATGGACTCAGCATGAGCAGAAGATGAGACAGAAGACCATGGAGAATATTGTTTTTCACACAAGGCAGCTGACGGCTCCATATAAGGTCAGAGAAATACGTGTTTGTTTGTCCTGTGGAGCGGGGCTCGGTCTGTTTACATTCACACTGTACTTGAACCGCGCTGGAGTTCTCTTCTACCGGACTGAGACCTAGGATTTAGCCCGGGCCAGAGTTCACCTTTTTGTTCCGTGACAGAGTTCAATGGTGCGTTCACACCTCCCTAAAAGAACCAGACTTTCAAGGAAAACGAGTGAGAGAGTGAATAGTTGTTTGTCTCATTTGTCTCTCTAGTCAGGTGACTGCAGTTTTTATATTGGGGGGCGGGGGGGGGGGGGGGTTGTGGGGGAGAAAAAAAAATTTTTAAAAAAAAAAAAAATGTTTCATTACCAGTTTCTTACATGTGAGGTGGTGTGTGTGTGTGTGTGTGGGGGGGGGGGGGGTGTTTCATATAAAACTAAAACCACTTTGTTTATAAAAAAGCAAAGTTTCAGTAATATAGTTAGTTTTCTTGTGTAAAAGATGCATCATGTATGAGTAGGCTAGTCATGCTCTTTTTTATTTAATTTTTAATTTAAAGTTTATTTTTTTCTGATGATTTGTGTGCAAAATAAAGTCCTGGTGCACTCCTCCATCAGTGCTGCTTTATGAACGGCTTGCTCGGCTTTCCTTTGGATTCACGTGTTCATGTTCAAGTCTGCAGATAGCAGGCTGTTTTACTCCGTAGATGTTGAGCACTGCAAGAAATAATGGTTTTGTATCATAATTAGTTGACCTTTATTGCTTTAAATCAGCCGTTTACTGCCCTGCTGTTGTTTGGTTATGGCTCGATCAGGTGTGATAAATGCTCCTCTCAGTAAACGTGTCCACAAGCAGATGATTCTTCATGTCTTGTCTTCATTAGTGTATGTTAGGAGGCAGCATTGAGTTTTCAAACATGGTCATGAAGTTTCCAGGCTGAAACCTGCTCCTGGAGATTTGCTGGACTCTTGACTCCTCAAGTCTTCAGGAGAGTCCCTGCAAAATATTTGTGAAGTCACCAGTGTAAACATGCTTTGGTTTCACATTTAGAAGTAGTCCACTGTTTCCTGTGAAGTGAACAAAAGCAGCTAACCTTCACTTTCACATTCTGTGCACATTTGGACAGAACCACTGATCTGACACCAGAGAACCGATTGTTCTGCTCCTACATCCAGATTTCTTTACAAGCCTGTTCGCTTCTTTTACATTTCATCTTTGCTGATCTTGCTGCACGTTTGCCACTTGGATAACGTGAAGGAAGCGAGTGTTGTTGGGACCCAGTGAGCGTGTAGAACTGGCTGCCTCTGACCCACATGGGTGGAACGACGGCTGCGTACAAACGCTGAAATAAATCCAGCTGCTGTGTGTGTTCAGGAGAAGGCTGCCCTGTCAGCCCGGCTGGAGGAGATGATGGATCAAAGTTTAACACTTTTCCAGAAAAGGGATGACCTGGATGAACTGGAAGGCTTTCAGCAGCAAGAGCTTGCAAAAGTTAAACACATGGTGCGTTTTCCAGTCTTTTTTATTTTTATTTATCTCCCTCAAGTGAAAGGTGAAAGGCAGGCAATTGTGAGTTTGACTGTGTGTGCACGTGTTTAATTCGCCTGCAGTGTTTGCAAAATATCTCCTGAACCACTGGACAGATTTGAATGAGCCACTGGATGCACATCCAAGCCTGATGCACGTTTAGAGTCAGTTCCACATTGGATTCAGCTGACCTCAGAAAGCTCAGGACTGCTCATATCTCTGTCAGGTTTGCAGATGTTGAGCCCAAGCTGAGCGTCATCCCTTACACAAGCACCAACAGACCATGCATGAGTTTGAGATTTTCATTATTGAACCAAAACTTGAACTCCATCATTTGTCAGCACAGGCTGATTAATGTCAAATGTTACATGCAAGGCAGCGGGCAACATGCTTTCCTTCAAGGAATGCTAGTTCTTTTTTTAATGTGTTTTTAACAGTCTGAAATAAAATGCTAAATAAAAAATTAGTCAAAAAATATGGTCATTTGTCACTTTTCATGAATTAGTGCATGTTTTGGAGCATATTTGGTTTCTGCTGTGTTTTTAGCTTCATATTGTAAAACTACCCGTTTTCCATTAATGTTTGTCAGTTGCTGAGGAAGGAGGAGTTGCTCAGCCGGCGGGAGGCGGAGCTTCAGCAGAAGGAAGCTGAACTCCAGTCAGCTACACGAGGTCTGTCTGAGGCTCGAGGGAAACTCCAGGCTCTGCAGCAGCAGCAGGACCACAGTTGCAGACTCAACTCTGAGTTTGAAATCGAGCGGTAAGAGGACTGATTATTGAGTCGGTCTCACCAGGCACTTCACAAACTACAGTGGTGTTTGAAAGTTTGTGAACTCTTTATCATTTTCTACATTTCTGCATCAATCTGACCTAAAACATCATCAGATTTTCGCACAAGTCCTAAAAGTAGATAAAGAGAACCCAGTTAAACAACTGAGACTAAATATTATGTTTCCAGTAACTGTTGACCAGTCCTGCTCAGCAGCTTAGAGGAACTTTGGTCCATTCCTCTGTACAGAACAGCTTCAACATGTTGGTGGTTTCTCACATTAACTGCTGCTTCAGGTCCTTCCACAACATCTGGATTGGTTTAAGGTCAGGACTTTGACTTGGTCATTCCAAAACATGAACTTTATTCTTCTTGAACCGTTCTTTGGTAGAACCACTTGTGTGCTGAGGGTCATTGTTGCTGCATGACCCACCTTCTCTTGAGATTCAGTTCATGGACAGATGTTCTGACATTTTCTTTCAGAATTCTCTGATATAATTCAGAATTCATTGTTCCATCAATGATGACAAGTCGTCCTGGTCCAGATGCAGCAAAACAGGCCCAAACCATGATACTACCACCACCATGTTCCACAGATGGGATAAGGTTCTTATACAGGAATGCAGTTTTCATTTCTCCAAACAGAACTCTTTTCATTTAAAGCAAAAACTTCTATTTTGGTCTCATCCGTCCACAAAACGTTCTTCCAACAGTCGTCTGTCTTGTCCACATGATCTTTAACAAACTGCAGACGAGCAGCAATGTTCTTGTTGGAGAGCATTGTCTTTCTCCTTCAACCCTGCCATGAACCATTGTTCAGTGTTCTCCTGATGGTGGACTCATGAACATTAACATTAACAATGTGAGAGAAACCTTCAGTTGGTAGAAGTTACCCCGGGGTCCTTTGTGACCTCGCAGACTATTCCACTCCTTCTAGTGATGTTTGTTGGTCCACCACTCCTGGGAAGGGTAACAATGCTCTTGAACTTCCTCCATTTGTACTCAATCAGTGTGACAATGGATTGGTGGAGTCCAAACTCTTTACAGATGTTTTGTAACATTTTCCAGCCTGATGTGCATCAACAACTCTTTTTCTGAGCTCCTCAGAAATTTCCTTTGTTCCTCCATGATCCACTTCCACAAACAAGTTGTGAAGAGCAGACTTTGATAGATCCTGTTCTTTAAATCAAACAGGGTGCTCACTCACACCTGATCATCATCCACTGATTGAAAACACCAGACTCTATATTCACCTTCAAATTAACTGATAATACTAGAGGTTCACATACTTTTACCACTCACAGATGTACAAGTATAATATTGGATCATTTTCCTCAATAAATAAATGACCAAGTATAATAGTTTTGTCTCAGTTGTTTAACTGGGTTCTCTTTATCTACTTTTAGGATGTGTGTGAAAATCTGATGATGTTTTAGGTCAGATTGATGCAGAAATGTAGAAAATGATCAAGAGTTCACAAACTTTCAAACACTGCTGTATTTACTGCAGATTACATGAAGAAGTTTTTGTTTAGTTTTAGATGTAATAAATCTTCAAGTCAGCTACTTATGCAAAGAGCAGTCAGATCACATCAAGTGACAGAATGCTGAATTCCAAACAGCCTCTGATTAACTTTGTGCAGAGAAGAACTGTTGCTGCTTCGAGAAGAAGGTGACAAGAAGATCAGTGAGCTGGAAGGACAGTGCCAGGAGCTGCAGTCAGTCATCCAGCAGGTTTCTGAAGACTTCCAGATGGTCAGCTCCAAACACAAGCTGCACAGGATGTGCAACTGCTAAGCTCTTCAGGGATTCATTGTCATCTTTCTTTATTTCAGTCCCAGAACATGGTATCAGCTTTAGAGAAGTCCCTGCAGGAGCTGCAGACTGAACATGACACCCTGAAGGTGCAACAGCAAAAGGTCAGAAGAAAAGCAGTACAAACGACAGAAATTTACTTTAACATAAAGTAAAATATCACAGTCCAGTAGTGGCCGAATCAGATGTTACGGACTGTGAATAGACCAGTTGAGATTTAGTTAAATGTTACTTTTTAAAGTGCAAAACTTGTTTTCTGACATCAGGCTTCTGTGACCGAAGAGGACAAAGAGCGCCTGTTAGTGGAGCTTCAGAAGAAGGTTTCTTCTTTAGAGAGACGACTGCAAGGGAACCTGAGCCAGGACGAGCATCTACAGGAGCTGCTCCTGGAGGTGGGATAGATTTCCAGTTCAGAGTTAAGACCAGTGCAGGGACTTTACATGAAAGACTAGTCTGGGATGACATGTTACTGACACTACCAGTTCAGTTCTGATGTGAAATCAGAGGCTGCTGTTTCTTTAATTACAGATGTTTTACAGATGGGACACATTTGTTCAAGCCCTTTTAGTTAAAGAAAGAAAACCAGCAATAATCAAACAATTTGAAACTGACGAATGTAAAAACAAAAAATGGTTTACGAAAAATGTACTGTTCAAGCTGCTGTCCCTGCAACCGTCTCTGAAACAAGTGGAAGATGGACGGAGGAATTTACTGACAGTCAGTCATAGCTTTAAATTTTTGGTTCAACAAATACAGACCCTTTCCAAAAAATTAGAATATCATGGGAAAAGTTGTTTAACTTTTTGAATGGAATTATGGAAGTTACTCTTTAATAGATGATAGATTCAGGGCCCACAATTTAAACCATTTCAAGTATTTATTTGTTTATTTTTACATAATTTGGGCTTCCAGCTCATGAACCCCACGAAAACAGGATTTCAAAAAATTAGAATACTGTGAAGAAATCAGCCCACACTTCTCAGTTTTTGCAGAAAAAATAAATAAATTAGGATCACAACGAATCAATCAACATACCCAACAATTTTCAATCAGGTCATCTGGACAGTTTCTTTTTTTTGTTCTGAAACGTTTCACCTTCCATCCAGAAGGCTTCATCAGTCAAGGAAACGCACAACAAAACTGATTCTTCCCCCAACAGCTTACTCCAAAGTGGAACAAACCAGTTATGTTGGTGCTAAGATGGTGTCTTTGGCACGCCTCCTCCGGTACTGGCCCTCTTCCTCGTCGACAGGAATGTCAAAATAGTTCAAAACCAACAAAGTCCGTGTTCAGTAATCCAGGTTTACAATCCAACAATTTTCAGATTCATATTAGCCATGGAGCTAAATGTTCTGTCCAGTGTCAGAAAGCTTGGTCTCAGTCACAGGTCATGGTCCTCCAACAGGATAATGACCCAAAACACACAGCTACAAACACCCAAGAATGGATCAGAACCAAACATTGGACTGTTCTGAAGTGTCCTTCTGACCCATGTTCTGAATCCTGTTGAACATCTGTGGAAGGAGCTGAAACATCTGGAGAAGGAAGTCTTCAAACCTGAGACAGTTTGATCCTGAGGAGTGGACCAGAACACCTGTGGACAAGTTGGACCAGAACACCTGTGGACAAGTTGGACCAGAACACCTGTGGACAGGTTGGACCAGAACACCTGTGGACAGGTTGGACCAGAACACCTGTGGACAGGTTGGACCAGGACACCTGTGGACAGGTTGGACCAGGACACCTG